TCCTTGAGGCTGCCACGGCAGTGACGTGGTGAAGTATACGGGAGAGACGAGGCGTGGCACCTGCGGCGTCCACACACACACACACAGCCAGCCGCAACAACCCTCTCGCAACGAAAACGAAAAACAACAACAATTCTTGTGAAGCGCCATACAAGGAACGAGCAAAATGCCCTGCTCTCACTCAACTGGGGACCAACCATGGAGGGAAGGAAGGACCCCACACGCACTCCCCTGCGCACAAACACGCTGCTTGCGAGTGCGTGCATTAAAGCCGGCGACGCCGCTGTTGCTCAAACGACGGTGCATCCACCAATGCTTCCGTCGCCGCCACTGGCTCCACCACCTCCTCGCGCCGCCGCTTACGATCCACCAACGGCAGCAAGCACAAGACAAATGGCTTCTGCTGCTGCTGCTGCTGCTCTGCTTCCCTGGACACCACCATCACTTCGTGGTCATCAGCCCGCCACCGCTTCGCCACGGCGCCGGCACCATCGTCCAACGTGGCGTCCACAAATCCCGCCACCTCGCGCATGCGCTTTTTGTGCGGAAGCGGCACAAAAGACGATGGCCCAGACGACGGCGACGGCGTTGTGTGCCACGTGATGGCGAGCGGAGCACTCAGTTGCTGCTGCTGCTGCTGCACAGCCAGCGGGAGTTGTGTCGCGCTTCCCCTCATCATCAAGAGCTGCAGCAACTCACGCGATGAATTTCGCGCGGCATCAGCTGCAGCTGGGCATACGTATACCGCCGGATGTGTCCTCGCCTCCTCCTCGTTGTCGTTGCCATTCTCATCCTCGGCGGATAGGAACACATCGCCGCACACATTGGGCGTGCTGCGCGCCATCAACGTATCCTCTTCAGCGCCGCAGCTACCGCGCTCCACAGGAGGTTCACACCACTGCTGCTGCTGCAATAGTGGTGGTGACGGCAGCGGCCAACTGCCGTTGCCCATCAACTCCGCTGGCTGGTTCGTGTAGAACACACCCGGCCAGCTGCCGTCCATGTCTGGCGTATATTATTTGGTGATCCTCCTAGGCTCCTCTCTATTCTCCCCTAGATCGGCCACCAGAGCCGGATACACAAGTATACACGCTACCCAGAAAGGGAACACAACATAGAATGATGAGAGGAGGAGGAGGAGGAAACGAAATGCGAGGAGCGTCAACAACAGAACGAAGATAGTGGCTAACTGCAGCTCCATGTAGTTGCACTTTGACATCCAGATCGTTCTCTGCGCATAAGTACAGAGGCAATGTACACGCCTGCCAACAACAAAAGAAGGGGAAAGTAGAGGGCACGTACAGTAAAACAAAAAAAGCAAAAGACGGAACAGAAATCATCTCCTGTTGCTGTGGCTTCAACTACCGCCGATACAGCTCCACAGTGTCTTCCCCCTCCCTTTACCATCATCTAGGTGGCACCACTGGCGATGGGGAGTCGGTCTCCCCGTGCAGAAACCCTCCACGCGTGTAACGCCACTGCTGTCCATCACTGCCACGCCTCTCGTCGTCGACTTCGGATGATTGCCCCGCGGCCGTCTGCTCCTGCCGCTGCTGTTCGTGTTGGTGTCGCTCCCCCTGTGATGTGCCCCGTGGGTGCGAGCCTAAATTATTCACCATTCCCTGATCGACATCCGTGTCGAAGCGGACCCGACGCTGCGCAAACGAGCGTGGCGAGTAATTGGCATCACCGGCACCACTCGCCATTGAGCTCTGACGCATCGGAGAGACGCCATGCTCGGGCCACAGTGCCTGCCGTGCGTATGTCTGTGCATGCATGTACGCGTCTGGGTGCGTGTGCGGTGATGGAGCACGAGGAGATACCTCATCGCGACTGTGTTTGCGGTTATAGCAGGCATCAATGGCACTCATCAGTATAATGTACACCACAACCAGGAAGAGGCCACCGAGGAGACCACCCATCACAGCGTAGTTCTCCCCATCAATCACGGTGGGAACGTCGCACACCAGGCGCTCGTTCAGCGACCGCGTCTCGTGGCGCGACATCTGTGCGTGGAGTGGCGCAAGACACACCCCCCGTCAGTGTGGAATTGCCCCCACGCCCTCTTCTTCCACCGCAGCAGCAGCAGAAGTAAAAGCACAGTGTGTGTGGGGGGGGNGGGAGTGTGTGAGTGAGAAAGAAAGAGGGAAAATAAGGAAAGAGACCACCAAACTACGCACAGCAACATGACCAATGACCTCCAAACAGAGCTGCATGCATACAGACAAAGAAGTCATAAACCCCACAGCCCAGGTCCTGGGACATGTAAGAGGAAATCACACAAGAATGCCCCACACAGCATGTCTTAACGGCACTCCATTTCACACACACACACACGCACTCTACGCCGTGGCAAACACGCTAAGTGTCCCTGACTCGTCCGCCACCACAGCAAGGTGCTCCTCACCGGCGAGGGCAACGCAGCCAGGAGTGCCAACGAAAACAGGCGGTAACGCGTCGGCGGGGCGCGGTGCAAAGCGGAAGGCGCCACCCGCCGCACTCCGCCGCTCCCACGCGAGGACGGCACCATCTGCGTGGCATGACACAATGTTCGTGCTGTGCGGCATGTGCAGCCCCGTCACCGGGGCGCCGCACGGGGTGCTGTGATCCACCGCGTGGCTGCTCTTCTCGCGAACCGCGGAGAGGCGCAAGTCCCACACGACAAGCACACCATCCTCTGTGCCCGCCACGATGGAGTTGTCCTTCACGGCAAACGAGGTGAGGGGATCGTGCGGCGTCCACTTCCACGCTCGCACAACGCTGTCCTGAGGCCTCAGTCTGTGGTCGATCTCGAGGACGGCGTGGTGGCACAGTGCCAGCACGGAGGACGCGTCACCGTCAATCTCGCGCACCTGCAGCAGGGGGAAGGTGGACAACATAGGCAGTTCCATTGTCTGCTGTACCGACACACGTGTGCCGGACAAGCGAAGCATCTTCAGCGCATTAGCCTCACCCCGCTCACCCCCACAAGCCACCGCAATGCGACCACTGCCGCCGCCGCCGCCGCTGCTGCCTCGATACAGCCGCGTGGCTGCCGTCCAGCTTCTACCATCATCTTCCATTGCCTTTGGTAACTTCCTGTACTTAACCACCACTTTATCGATTCCTGCACCGCTACCGCCCTCCTCATCATCCGTGTCGTCGCTCTCGGTCCGCCGGAATACGTACGTCGTGGCAGCAGCGCCCCCTTTCTTGGTGTGGGACTGCACGACACAGTGCACGACTCCCTCCGGCGACAGCACAAGTGCGAGGGCGGTGACGCTGCTGCCTGGCACCGACGCGTGCGCCAGACGGAAACTCGACGCGTTCGTCGGGTCGTCCCATTCAATAAAGAAGACACGATTCAACGCGTCAAAGGCTGGCGACACGGCAACCACCGCGGCGGGGTTGCCGTTGTCACCGTCGGTCGTCAGGAGGCTCACATGCCGCGGGGAGATGGGCAGGTACTGCTGCGCCAAGAGCTCAAGCGCCATCTGTCGCACCCTCTCTCTATCTGCTCATGACGGGGGCACGAGCACACCACGTGGGAGGGAGTACACACACACAAAAAGGAGATAAAAAAAGAAACAAGAACAAAGAGAATTTTAGTTGGCTAACGGACATCCAGTAAAATATTATGAGGTGAAATAAACGACGATAATCACTCACATCCGCCGCATTTTTCTATACTGGCATTACTCGCGTGGTTAGTTGGAAACACAATTGCCACCCCCCCTTTGCATCCCCCTTCCTTTTTCTTAATCCTCCATGTCAATATCGGGGAGGTCATCCTCATCATCATCATCAGACCCAGCCAAAGGCTGCGGCTTCACCGGCTCAAGCCTTAGTTTTCGTTGCTGTTGCTGTGGTGGCACTGCAACCCTGTCATGCGTGTCGTTCGCTTTGGTGTGCGCAGGTGACTGCGGCTTCTGCTTGCTCACCGCACCATCTGAAGTGGGTTGTTGTTGTTGTTGTTGTCGTTGCTGAGGAAGAGGAGGGAGGGAATGTGTAAAGATGGGGGAGGCAGGATGTTCACGTTTCTCCTTGAGTTGTTGTTGTTGTTGTTGTTGTTGCTGCTGCCGCTGCTCAACGACAGGGGACTCATCAACTGCAGCGCTAGTATCAGCCGCCAGGCTTCCTGCGACCCGCCGTGTCGCCTTCTCCACAACGTCGACCGGCGGCAAATAGAACGGCACCGCGTGTGGGTGGCGCAGCGCCGTCAACGTCACGGAGAGCCGTGCAACAGCGCGGAGTAGTTGCTGGCGGTCACGACGGCCCCGGGGCGTGGTCAGTCGCTCTGCAGGAAACTCCTTTGCCGCCCGCACCGCACACGCCGCCACAACACTCGGCAGCGGGCGGCACAGCAGCAGGAACGCTGTCAGGANCTCCTTTGCCGCCCGCACCGCACACGCCGCCACAACACTCGGCAGCGGGCGGCACAGCAGCAGGAACGCTGTCAGGATGTCGACGCAGAGGGGCTGAAGCGCCGCCTCGACGACAAACACCGCGGCATCCGTGGCGTTCTCTGTCTGCTGCAGGGCCTCGCTGTTGCCGCCGTCCATCCCGCCCGCGACGCATGGCGGCGGCACGTCGAGCATGCCGGCCGTCACGACCTCCTGCGCAAATCGCAGCGCCGCCCGCTGCATCGTCGCACTGCCCATGCACGGCCCCACAGCGAGCAGCAGCTCCTCAAAGGCGCGCAAATTCCGCACCACCGCCGCCTCCTCCTCGTTTCCTGCACCACCGCCGTCCTCACCCTCAGTCCCCGCCGCAGTGACGAAGGGCGCACCGAGCAGGAACGGACTGGGATCGTTCAGCAGTAGCTCCATCAGCTCCTCAAGAAGACGCGCCGCGCCCGCCTTGAAATACGTCCCAAGCAGCGCAGCCAACTCCCAACAGGCGCTGCTCGCCAATGCGGGGGATGAAATCATCAGCAGCACACGCCGCATCATCGCATCGAGTGACGGCATCAGCTGCACGCCGTACGTGACAAGTAGCGTGCGGAGGGTGTGGAAGTGGGGCTCTGCCATGGCCGCAAACACTTCACCGCCGCGGTGCCGTTTTTTACCTGCGCTGGTGGGGTTGGCATCGCTGAGTTGCTGTTCTTGCTGCTGTGCATCGGCAATGACGGCGTCGAGCGCAGCCAGTGTGTCGCCCAGCGCGTCATTAGCCGACGCGCTTGTCATCACTGGCCGCTTAGATTTGTGGCTCATGCCTTCCTCACCGCGACAACTTCCTTTCTTCCTCCTCCTCCTGCTGCTGCTGCTGCTGCTCTTGCGGTGTGGCGAACAGCAACGATGGACACAGATGTAGAAAGAACAAGATGGAACCAGACCAATAGGGTTAGGGCGCACGCCCTTCAGGAGGGAAGACGCAGCAACAGTAGAGAAGGGAGCAGAAGTAACAGTAGTTGTGCTGCAGCAAAAGCCGAAGTTCTGCCCGATACCACACCCTAGACAGAGATCATTGACCACAGCAATGGGGGAGAAGAAAAACAATAACAGCAAATATAATCTATTTCTTTTGGGCGTTACTTACCAATCAGGGGGAAGCTGTATACGTAAGCTTACCACTCTACTTCCCTCTCACCCGTTCCCCCGACAAGAGACCCATCAACAATGACGAAACAAAAAAAAAATACACAGACCAGTCTGCCATCCTTCATCCCTTCCTTCTGCTTCACGAGGGCTTTGTCGTCGCAACGTTCGGTGGCAGCATGGCCTTCACGTGCTTCGCGTTGGCGCAGACGCAGCGACCACGTACAGCGGTCGCAATGCCACTACCTGTTTCCATTGCTTCTCCCTTTCCCATCTGCTTCTCTTGCTCCGCCGAAGCTGCTGCAGGCGTCCCACAGAGGAACTCGACGGTGGAGAACATCAGTCGCTTGCCCATCTTATCGATGCGTGTCACGGCGACAAACTTCTCCCCCTCCCGCATGGGCCGCGGCGTGTTGCACTGCAGCGACACCGACACGTGCCCCAGCATCGCGGGGAGGAGCGCGAGCATCATGTGGAGCGAGGTGAACATATCCGTGAGTGTAAGCAGTGCACCATGCGCGAGCACGCCTCCACCGTCGGTTGCGCCCCGCACCACGGTAAAGGGCCACGCCATTGCGTATGGGAACACCTTTCCCCCTCCTTCTCCCTTTCCTGCAGCCGCAGCTGACGCCGTTTCGGATACTCCTGCGGGACTCATAGGGATGGGCATCATGGCCACAAACGTGTCCTGCGCCCGCAGCTGCAGCACGTCGCTGAGCAGCCGCATGCCGTACTTGTCGATGGCGGCCACCTTGTCGTACAACTGCATGTAGTTGGGAAATGCCTGCACCACTGGCACCCACTCCACATCATCCAGAAGTTCCATCACCGATTGCAAGGGCAATCTCTCGTGTGCGTCGATCGGGCGTCCCGCAGTGACTGACCAGGAATCAAACAAAAGATGGATAACGAGTAAGGAAGAGAAGGATGAATGTACGAGGATGACGCAGACCTCAGCCGAGAGAGAAGCAAACAACCGGAGAGAACACCACACGGGCATGCATATAAATATGAGTGCACATGTACCACTTGTGCCTGCAGGGTGTGCAGCACACATCATGGATAGACAACATTCAAAAAAGAAAATGAGCAACAATGAAAGAATCATCCCCTCGCCTTGCTCAATTAGTTGGACTGGATCACACACTTCACGTGCTTCCCATTCCCCAAAACAGTGTACTGCCGCAGAAGCCGCTCGAGCTCCTTGACTGAGGACGCCTCTTTCTCGTCCACGAGTGCCCCAGGGGCACTGCCGCTGCTGTCGTCACGCAGCAGCTCCGCCGACAGGAAGTTGAGCCGCTTGCCAGCCTTGTCCATGCGGCTGATCAGCACGACCCGCTCCCCCTCGCTAATGGGCTTCAAACAGTTGGCTTGAATGTTCACTGACACGTGCACAACGTCCGACGGCAACAGACGTTCCATGAGATGCAGAGACGAGGCGGTGTCGACAAGGGATGTGAAGGCGCCGCTGCCCATCGCCCGCGTGGCTGCCGGCCCCGCGCCGCATGCTTCACACGCAGCAGACGTGATAGTGAAGGGAAACGCCATGGCGAGCGTCACGTTGCGCCCCTTATTCCTTGAGTCAGGCTGCAGCAGGACGCGGGTGTTTTCCGGTGCGTACTTGAGGGCTTTCAGCATCAGATTGGTGTGCGGAGAGCGCTGCGTGAATGTAATGTAGTGCTCGAGAAAGGCTGGCGAGTGTGCGGCCACCGGAACCCACAGTGATTGCCTCGAAAGCATCGTCCTTCTTCTTACTGGCGCACCTAAGCGTGTGCCCGTCCGTCGCCTTTTTTAATCAGATAGTTAACAATAGATATCTCTCTCGCTGTGTGTGTGTGTGTGTGTGTGCTTATGCGAATGTGTCTGCAGAGTATAGCGACCACACGCACGCGTTTAGATTAGTGGCGCCAATGCAGCTACAGATCGACGCCAGGGTTATCGCAATTCGGCAACAAACAAACAAACGGAAACAACACCAACAAGAGTAGTAATAGTGGCAGCAGCAGCAGAAACAAAACAAAAAAGTTCAACCCATACAGACCTGCATCGTTACCCAACACAGACCCCGCTCCCTCCTGGATGGGTGTGTGCTGATATTAAGCGGCTGTGGGGGCTGAATTGACCCCACAAAAATAGCACGGAAATAACAGCACGTGTCTGAGGATGTGTGCGTGCGTGTGTGTGGGCTTGGGGGAGACTGAGAGTGAAGGAGCGGCTGAGGGCAAGAAACAAGCAATTCGAACACACAAACACATTATATAATATATATATATATATATATATGAATATATGAATATACCTGCGCACCTTGCACAGCCAAGCCGACACCGCAACAGATACCGAAGGTCTCACCTCCATCCGCTTCTATATTTTTCCCCTCCTGCTCCCGCACCACATTGCCCACCACAACCACGAATTTACACACACACACCCACACCCACACACAGACACGTACACACTAACACGACATACGCCGCGTTGCCCTCCTTGTACTTTTTTTTTTTTGCATTTCTCTCCTCACTCAGCGTCCTTTTCCCCTTTTCTTTCTACTGCTGCGCGCACTGCACCGCCTGCGCCCCGCCGAGGCCGTTCTCAAACAATACCTGGCTTTCGCCCATGCCGAACATCGTCTCCTCCTGCCGTCGCCGCCGCCGCCGCTGCTGCTGTCCCTCACGCTGCGACCCGCTCTTTCGCTGCCGCCGTGCGCCCATATCGCGCAGTTGCAGAATCTCTCCATTCACTGGCGGGAACGACTCCGCCACATCAAACGCAGTGGCAATGTTCTTTAACTGCTTCGGCTTCAGCTGCGTCGGGTACTCCACCTCAAAGTGGATGATGAGGTTGCCGCGCTCCAGCCCGCCCGTGTTGGGTAGCGGCATGCCCTCACCGCGCACAACCCACGCCGCCTCGGGGTCGATCACCTGTCCGCGGTCAATCTTCACCAGTAGCGCGCGCCGATCGAGGTGCTGCACCGAAAACTGAAAGCCACAGAGCGCCTCCTGCAGGGTGATATTGCAGTTCATAATGAGATGGTTGCCCACACGACGGAATGTATCATGCGGCTTCTGTGAGATGATGATGAGCACGTCGCCCTTGAGCCGCACGCCCGGTATCTCGTCGCCCTCGCCGTCAAAGCGCACAACGTCCTCGTGCTGCATGCCTTTATCGACGTGCACCTCCAGCACCTTCTGGTCCTTCACAATGCGGTTGCCGCGGCACCGCGAGCACACATCCACATCCCGCACAACCTTCCCCTCGCCGCCACATGCCTGGCACGTCACCCGCGTGCGCTGCTGCATGCCGAGAAACAGCTGCTGCACGTGTACCTGCACGCCCTGGCCGTTGCAGCTAACACACGTGCGCCGCTCCGCACCGGGCCGCAGGCCGCCGCCGTCGCACACCCCACACAGACGATCGCGCGTCACCGAGACGCGCTTCACCTTGCCGTTATACATGTCGTCGAGCGACACCTTGAGCTCATGCATGAGGTCTCTCGGCTTGCGTTCGCCACGCTGCCGTTGCCCGCCGCCGAAGAACATGGAGAAGATATCGGAGGGGTCAAAGCCGCCCTCGTCCATGCCGCCCTCAAGACCGGCCTTACCGCGTTCGTCGTACAGCTGCCGCTTATCCGGGTCACTAAGCACCTCGTACGCGTGGCTGATGCTCTTGAACTTCTCCGCCGCCTCATTATCACCGGGGTTCTTGTCGGGGTGGTACTTGAGCGCAAGGCGGCGGTAGGCGCGCTTAATGTCGTTCTCGGACGCGTCCACGACGATGCCGAGGAGCTCGTAGTACTCCAGCTCCTTCACCATTGGGTTCACACTTCCTTCACGCACTGCTGTTGCTGCTGCTGCGGCGCCACACGAACACACACAAACCGAGATGCATACAGGTGGGTAAGTAATAATAATAATAATAATAATAATAATA